TTTAAAGGATGGATATTGACTTAGGCCACTTTGAGCAAAATAATTTTCACATGATAGGCTGAACTAAAAAGAATAGTAATAAAATACGCATTGGCTATTTGTAAGTCAACTAAACAGGGTCAACTAAACAGGATTTCTTATTCTTGGATCACTCTGAAGACTAAACTGTCCAACTCTTGGCTCCTTTTCAACCCTTTCTCCTGGAAGGGGAAGTAAATATTGATCAGCTTCAATAATATTAAACTGGGCTCAGTCTCATATTGATGGACTAAGGTGGGGAGGAAACTAGTGTGAAAAACCCATCACTAAGAATGCTTTGTCTCCAACCTTTCTTCTAATACCTGTGAAGATTTCCTTGCCATGATACGAGACCAGTTGATGCAAATGGGGCAATTTTCTCTCACTACTACATTCATACATAATGTAGTTGTAAGTTAAGAGACTTGGTTCAAATCTTCATGCTGTAAAAACAGATAAAATTATGTATTTTGGCCTGAATGCAAGAATAATATTGAACCACAAGCGTGTACTGAAGCCACCGCAGGTTATGATTATAGATTATAAGCAGATGTTCTGGTTTGATTTGGGGTTTTTTCTCACTATTTTTAGCCTAAATGGCTCTTCTGAGGCACCTTTCAGCATTCCTAATGCAGCAATGAGCTCTTGCAGTGTTCTGGAAAAGAGTGGAGAGGAATGATGCCTTAGAGATGCAGCTCTCAGACCTAGTCATGTAGGTGGTCCTTCTGCTGGGGCAGGAGTCACGCGTGTACCCAGTGAGCCGTGGCCACCGAGCTCCCCGTCACGGTGCATCTGCTCCGTGTGGAGCCAGTGTGGGTCCATCCCGCCGCCGTTCTGCTGACTGACACCAGCTGGTGCTCTGCTCCTTTTATCCCAGCCTCGTGTGGCTTAGCAGCTGGCAAAGACTGTTTTTAATAATATATTTATAAAACTTTGCGGCCCTGCAAGTCCAGACACAGAGAAAGGACACTTTGAGCTCTCAGCTCGGGCAGCACAGAATGACGCACGGCAGATCTGGTTTCCCATCTCTCGCTGCCGCCACTAACCTGCCCTCCCATCACCAGTGCCAGAAGCCAATGTTTCCTAAAAAACACAGAGGAAAAAACCTTGGGCTGAAGGCTTCCATAGCTGTTTGAAGTTATGCTTGTTCTGATCCCTCTGCAGGCAGCTGTCTGATCGGTATTTCAGTAATGTACATATTTAAAAGGAAATACTAACTACTGTAGGGCATGGTAGTATTTTCATGCCCTCTTTACCCTGCAACCTTTTCCAGTTTGCTCAAACCTGAGCACCTTGCTGTCTTGTAGGGACACCATCTGGCTGAGGTGTAAACTACAGCATCTGTCTGTCCCCTTTGCATTTAGGGATGGTACTTCAATAAGCATGCTTTAAAAAAAAAAAAATAATAATTCTTGCATTTATGTTCCACTGCTGGCAGATACTTTCAAATTTTAATTGTAGGATGCAGGATTTATTAGGTATATTGCTTTTTCCTTGTCTGCAAATGATATGGACTTTTGAAAATATAGGAGCCTGTATTTTGTCCTGGGAATAAGGATTTTGCAAAAGATTTTCCCCTTTTTTGTTTTGTAAACCAGAATGATGTGCACACTATTTATGAGAGACATGATAGAAACAGGCCCAACATTTAACTGATCAAGACTGGTTTTGAACAAATGCTGACACCACCATTCTTTTTGTCTCTGATTCCCACAGAACCCTATTGCTTTGAAAAGAAATATCCTAGAATGCGTAACCGAGCCTGCAGCAATGATCTACAACATACAGTGTCCCCTTCATGCCTCTTTTACCCGTGTATCAACACCAAGAAGGTGGTGTGCATGTTAAAAGACAGAAGAAGACAAAATTCCCTCAGAAAATGAACAAGGAAATCTGTGTGTTAAAGAGGAAAATATGGATTCAGGAGCTGGGAGAAATTTTTCCGAAACGATTCCTTAAGCAGTAAAGAGCTACAGAGTGGAAACTCTTTTCTCCTCTGTGTGTGTGTATGCAGTACATAGAACTGCAGTGACTTTATGGTCTGCCTAATAAAAAATAATCAGCAACAGCAATGAATAAATAACATATTTATTTTTTTAACTTAGTTGGTCTAGGGTTAGAAAACATAGCTAAACTTTTAACAGCCCAGCCACTTTGCCTGGCTTCTTACAGTGCCAGCTGTGGCTTCAGTCAAGGTAAATTCAAACCAGTGACTGGAAACTGAAGATCATATGTCTGAGCTTTTGTAGTTCTTTATATTAAACAGTTGAAAGATGTATTTTGAAGCTGTTGAGTTTACTCCCATAGGGAAGGACTGATAGGAACAATATGTATACGAGAACAGCCCTGTATTTTCAGTGTTCATCATTTCTGAGGCCCAGGAGCTGAAAAGCAGCAATGGGTGAAGTGGCAACCGGCTGTGTGTGGTTTGCAGAGGTTTGTATCTCGGCTCGGCGTTGTGTATCTCCTAATGATGAATGCATGGGAGGGCCAGGTCAGGAGCGGTTTCCACTCCAGTGCGTTGATTGTGTGGTTGGCAGTGGGCTCAATTAAAGTATAATAATCTGGTAATCTCTCTCCTTTTTCCATTCAGGCTGCTGCACGCTGAATAGAGACAGTGAAAGGCTATAGCTTTTGAAAAGTAGGTGAACTCCTGCCTCTTTGTCTGGGCACTTTGTGTCTAAGCGAGTAAAACGACAGGCAGGAAAGACAACTCCCCAAAACGTTGCTCCCATGACTTGCATCATTACTTCTGTTTGTGTTTCTGTGAGGTAACATGTTCTCTTTATTTTCTTGCTAGCCAATAGATTGGATTTCTAGCGAGCTTCTCACCACGGAGAAGAGCCAAGCTGATGTGAGAAAGGAGATATGTCCATTACAGGAAGATGCCACGTGTCCCATCTCCTGGTTCTTCTCACATTTGTGTTCAGCGGGGAGAGAATTGAGGCACAACGAGCAGGTACGCACCGTTCTGTTGCCTTCCGTGGGTTTCAGATTAGATCCGGTGAATCTTCCATCTGGCTGGGACTTTCCAAAAAGGGCACTGTTGATGACCTCTCTTGGTTCATACTGTCTATTTGCTGGCCTGGTCCCAGGCATGGGCTGTGTCCCATGCTGATGAGCACTCTCCCCCGAATGTCACTGAATGCACTGGAGGATGGTGCAGCTGAAAGACTCTTCCTGTGGGCAGTCTTCACAAGGACACTGTTTTTGGGGGGTGGTAGGAAGGGTTGAGTCATCTGGATGTGAATGATGCTATACCTCAGGGACAGTAAATGGTTGTAGGCCAATGCAGTTTATTGTTACAAAAACCCAAAGGTACTTTGAGATGGAAGCTTTCTGTCTCTTTTTCTAGGAAATATGGTATTCGGTAGCCTTCGGCAAATTACAAGAAAGAAAAGGACTTTTGAGACTTTCTCTCACTTTAAGGAATAGCTGCTTTGCAGTTTTATTATGTGATCTATATAGGGCTTTTTGGATGAAGTTAAACAGGAATAAGTAACAAAACAAAGTGATATCTCATCTTTTTTTTTTTTTCTGCCTGTGGATTGGTTACATGAAGGATACGGTGGTACCATTTATATGTTCATTCTGTGATTACTTCAAATAATTTTGGGCTTATGGCTTGTTTTTGAACTATTTTTAATGGCAATATTGCAAAACAGTTGACTCAGTGTCTGAGTAGATGAACACAGCTCCTGGAATTATGCTTCCAGAGAGTATAAGTGTAATTACAAAACTGAAGGTTCACTTTCTATTAATTATCTCCCATATTCCCTTAACGTGAACTGTTTCTGACAGTAAACAATATTATTATAGCATTCTTGGAAAACAATCAATTTTGTCCAGCAGTGTACATTACTGTGCTAAAAATGCAGATTAATATTTACTAAAAGATTTTTTGCAGCATTTCATCTCACTGCCACCAGATCTGTGAGCAAAGAATCACTGATTCTAAGAAAATTATCCTGAAAGACCATTTTTTGCTTCCCTGCAATACTGCCTGAATAGGCATCACTTTTTAAACCTTAAACCCCCCTTGTTTTAAGGCTCATTGCCCTTGAACACAGACAGGATTCCTTCTGTCTGTTCTGTTTGTTTTTAACTTGCAGTCATCTCACCTGCTGAGAGTCATTAAAATAAGCAACAGGAAAGTCTGTGGGTTTTATACTCAAACTTTTATGTTCTCTAATTAGTCACAATTAATATTTTTTCAGACAGAATAAATTAATATAACAATGATTTTTTTTTTGGAGGGGGGAAGTGGAGATTTCTTGCTTACCCTTTACTGTTGTTCTTTATATTCTATAAAAATCAAGCAGCACTACACTTGGCAGTCTAGCCGATATACACAGATGTAATGCACCTTACATCCCATAATATAAAATGATATATACTGTCATCTCCACACTCTGATTACCTTTGAGAGAGTTTCTGTGTATCCAGACAGACCTTTCTTGCTCTCTAGTTAGACACAAGCATTCCGTCACTAACAGTATGCTGTCACAGAACACTATCGCACATGGACAGGTTGATCAGGATGATCAAAAGCACCAGAGGTAAATTATGAATTCTAAGGTAAAATTTGGGTGTGAGAAAAGACTTAGTGACCTTCCTGTAGGTTCAAATGCTGGAAGTCAATGAGGAAATATGGCAACAACATCATTCCCTTTGAGTAGCATGATTCATATTTCTGTTTGCTGAGCTGGCTGTCAGGCAGGTGCTTGACTGGATGCATGGTGCATGGTACCTTCATTCTCTTTGGTCTGTTCCAGGGGAAAAAATCCTAGTCCTCAGCTAACATCCATATTGGATGTATTTACATCAGTGCTTTAGCTCTGTTCAGGAGTGCAGCAAGGACAGACTGTGTCCTAAGGGATGGGGAGCCAGGAGCTGGGGGTCTTCCTGGGCTGCCAGGACAGGGTCTCACCAGCCGCAGCCTGTCCCACCACCCCCAACCAGGTAGCAGGGCAGGCTGGGGAATGGCAGCCAGGATAAACAGACAATCCAAATTCTCGGAGAGGTCCATAGTGAGGAAGCATGTCCAAGATCAAGCCAGGCACATGAGTCAGCAAATCAAGGTCTGGATCAGGCCTGAAGACAGCAGCCAGGATCAGGCGTTCTCCAGGCAAGTCCACAGAGGTAAAGTAGGTCTGAGGTGTTAGTCACTGATGGACGTTTAGTTGCTGGGAACTGGCTGGAACTAGTCTGCACAAACATGCAAACCATACAGTGGGAATGTCACTTTTTAATATATGGAGAGCTAAACTGTCCTTGGCAGTCATACCCTAGAATAATGCGTTCTCACAAATACTTTCAGATTTTTTGACCGAAGGAAGTAGGTTGGTCAGTCCGGGTCAGAGCCCAAAGAAAGGTTATCAACATGGCCATAGTGAGAACAGTTGGGGGAATCAGAGTCCTGCAGTGAAACAGGAGTCAACAGAACAGATCTGCTCTGACTGGGTGTGGGTAGATGTGGGCTAACAGCTCAGACCCTGGTCAAGCAGCAGGATTTAAAGCCAATTGCCAGCAGTTGAGGGGACAGATGGAACATCTCCAGTTCAGAGTGACATAGAAAAGTCCTGTTACTCTGAGAGAAATAAAGTGGCACAGCTGGTGTGGCCCAGCTTTCTGTCTTGTGTCATGTTACCTGTGCTTTGTTCTCCACATACTGATTGAATTAGCTTTTTACCATTGGTTCAAACAAGCAGGTGCACTTTGTGAGATGATGGGAGACAAGAGCTACCTGAGAAGCTGTGGTTGGTGGTTGTGATCATAGACAAATGGACTTTGTAGAGCAGCTTTCAATCTTGAAACTCATAATTTGCTAGGGTCTATAATAGTGAATTAAATAAACATATGTATACATGTAAATTTTATCTGGTTGCGGCATTATGTTGATAAATCTTTGGCATCTGTGGTACATTTATGAATCTGCTGCCTCCCGGCTTGCATATATTCAGAAACAGATAGAAAACATCTCCTGGGAGTTCTCTTTTCTTGGAAGGTGGCTAACAAATATATGATCAGTCTGACTCCACAGGGCAAGCAAGCTGCAGTTAAAATACACTTACCTTTTGGATTATACAGGCCTTAGATTACAAATATAATGTCTGGAGGCAAAAAGGTGGTTGTGAGGAAAAGTGAACTTTTCCTTTATAAAGCAACTGCCCTTTGTTGTCAAGGAAGCTATCCCAGTATTCAGTGAGTCATCCTTTAGTCAATAATCTATATAATAGTCAATGTCAATGGCAGAGAATCTCAAAATCAAAATAACCTTGTTATAAACTTGCTTCACCAACACATGCTGAGCAAAAGAACTGCTTCTAGCTAAGCATGAATAAATCATAATGTTAATCCAAGAGGGAACATGAAAGCTTCACTACTCATGGTCAGGATTGGCATAGGCAAGGTCAGGGCAGGTCTCTTGATCTGCCAAGGTCATATATGAAGCAATGCCTGAGCAGAGACACTGTGGATGAAGTTTGAGAAAAATAGCTTCATATGCATGCAGATGGTGTAGGTGAATGATTGAGCAGAGGCAGTCAGTAGTGCAGGAAGAAAAGGGTTTGCATTTCAAAGCGAAGTGTGTGCTGATCTATTGTAGATGTCCTGAAACAGATGAGTCAAATCGCAAGGAAGAAAGGCTGAGAATCTGCACTTTCTCTGCAGGATAGGGAGAGGGTTTGCTGCCTCCTCCAAATTGCTCACGAGGGAGCCATGCCTAGGGAATATTTGGCATGTCCGGTACTCTTCTTTCATCTTCCCTTAGTGATATTTTCTGCCACTCTTGCAGGTTGCAAGAATGTTCACTATGACCTTGTCTTCATCTTGGATGCCTCATCCAGCGTCGGAAAAGAAGATTTTGAGAAAGTTCGGCAGTGGGTGTCTAATTTGGTGGAAACTTTTGAGATTGGCCCAGACAAAACCCTTGTAGGTGTGGTGAGATACAGCGATCGTCCAACCACAGAGTTCGACCTGGGAAAGTACAAAACCCGTGAAGAAATCAAAGAGGCTGCACGAAAAATTAAGTATTATGGAGGTAACACAAACACTGGAGATGCTCTCAGGTATATCAACACCTACAGTTTTTCCAAAGAAGCTGGTGGGAGACTTAGTGATCGAACTGTTAAAAAAGTGGCCATCCTTTTGACTGATGGAAGGAGCCAGGATTATGTCTTGGATGCAGCCACTGCAGCCCATCAGGCTGGGATAAGGATCTTTGCTGTGGGTGTGGGTGAAGCCTTAAAAGAGGAACTCGATGAGATTGCTTCAGAACCCAAGTCTGCTCACGTGTTTCATGTCTCCGATTACAATGCCATTGATAAAATTCGGGGGAAGCTGAGAAGACGTCTCTGTGAAAGTAAGCAGACCTCCCAGTTCTTCTACACTATTATAATTATAATGGGTTCAGTTAGCATATAGGTATGAAAAGCTGTGATGGTTTTCTTTTATGCTTGGAATTCTCTGCTGGGAATTCTTTATTTTAGTGTCTTCCACTCTGTTCCACTTTGTAAGAAGTCATTTTACTACCTGGAGCATGATGAAGTGATCACTTCTGGATTCTTCTGCCCAATTCAATATTAACTATAGGTCAGCTTCTAGTGGCCAACTAGAGAGCAACATGTGAATTCTCTTTTGGTTCTGATATAGTTCAATTACTTTATAATATTTTAGACTACTGAATGTGAAGTGTGACATCTTATTTATACCCAGATTTTGGTGTATTTTGTATAGGAGCTGTTTTTCACCCCTTCTTTTCTGGTGTTGTACTATGAAAAGAGTGCTCTGGATGCTGCTGAGAGTGACTGTTTAGGAAGCAAAAGGATAGTTGTGCTTTTCTGCCTTTCAGCATCCCAGTTCTGCTGACAACTGGCATTCCCTTGTGCTTTGCCCATCAACCACATAAACTTCAGTGATGTTTTGAATGACTTGTAATGGAGAAAAGTGTGTGAAATTCATACTGAATAAATTAACTCTGAATTTCCAGCTCCCAGTAAAGAGTTTAAGGGCATTATGGCTGGTATCTCCCAACACTTTAAAGGGAACAGCAAGCACATAGCCCTTTCTCCTTCTACCACACTTGCACACTACCTTCTATCACTCTTGTTCTGGTGACGACTTAAAAGTTACCTGGCTTTGCTGCTTTTCTCCGTATGTGTTGTGGTTACTCTAAGTTCTTTGGGTCAAAATCATGAGGCACTGCTCTGATTCCTAGGTCTGAACTTGAAAGACAACAGATGACTCGCTGTGTGACGCTGTAACACATTCCAGTATTACGATGACTGGGTCTGCTGGCCAGGAACTTGTGTCACTGTCAAGTAGGATGGAATGGGATAGAATAGAATAGTTCAGTTGGAAGGGACCTACAGCAATCATCTAATCCAACAGCCTGACCAATTCGGGGCTGACCAAAAGTTAAAGGATGTTATTAATGGTATTGTCCAAATGCCTCTTAAACACTGACAGTCTTGGGACATTAACCTCTCTAGGAAGCCTCTTCCAGGATTTGACCACTCTCTTGGCAAAAAAGTGCTTCCTAATGTCCAGTCTAAACCTCCCCTGGTGCAGCTTTGAACTGTTCCCATGAGTCCTATCACTGGATGCCAAGGAGAAGAAATCAAGTGGCAGTTAAGTTGCCTGAAAAAACTCAGGCCTTGTAGATGGTGATGTGAGGATCTTTTATTGCTCTCTGTGACCTCTGTTTGCAAGAAAAATGTGCTAACATAATGTTAGCTTATGTATGCTTCTTAAACAGTGACTAGCACAAGCAGACATAAACCAGTTGACATTGCCCAACAATATTTAGGTGTGACTGCTTTTTTTGCAGCCTGAATAAAAAGGTATGGACAGTGTAATCTGAATACAAGTGAAAGTCATGGTGAATACTGACTGTAAACTATGCAGACTGAAGGAGCTGGGTCTTTTTCCCTGAAAATCTTATGTAATCATACACAGAACAGGGGTAGAATAAAGGGCAAACCCTTCTGGTGGGCACACCCAACCATCTGCAGCTGCTGAACTTGCAAAATGTTATTTTCCATTGAAATTCTATTATGTTCATTTTCCAAAGCAAGTGTCTTCAGCACTTTGTACCTGGGTCTGTGTTTGTCACCGTTTTAAAAAATCATTTACCTGTCTGTCAGAGTATAATGACATTTGTCCATAGCTTTCTGAGCCCATATGATGTCCATGTGGGTGTTCCTCATTAGATTGCAGAGAATTACTGGGAGCATCCTTCATCATGAATGTGACGGCAGTCACTCTTCAGGGTGTTTGCTTCCACCTGCACTAGTGGGTTCGGTGAGGAGCAGCAAAGGCTCTAAAAGGACAAGTGATAGGAAGGGGTTTAGTTTTATTAGATAAAGGGAACTTTCAGGGGGAAAACAGGCTGCTAAATAGATTGGTTTCAGTGTAAGAACAGAGGGAGTCCAATAGCTGTCAATTAACATTATTAAGGAAGGGAGCAGAGGGGAGGGAATTAGCAGATCAAACATCGGGTGGATAATGTGCACATATTGAGGATCACTCAGGCAGACATGGGAGGACGTTAACAGTGACACGGGGAATTGAATATCCTGGCATACAGGACGCAGTGGATGCAGGTGGGTTTGAAGAAGTGGATGCAGGGTAGAACAAGGGGTTATCAACCAAGGCAGCAAGCACACATGCAATGGACTGATTGCCACAGCAATGGCAGCTGTAGAAGACAGGTCTGCCATAGCTGTTCCTGGGCAGTGTTATTCTGATCCAAGGTCTCTGGTGACATGCCATAACATTGCTAAATCCTTCATTCTGCCCTTGATGGAGGACACCTTTTTCTGTGTCTGGCTTCAATCCCCCTTGCTGCAACTGGAGCCTGGTTTTGTCTGTTTTCACTGCATATCAAAGAGTTTTCTCTTCCTCTGTACATCAGTCTTTTCTGCTTGGAAGGCCATTACATAGCTTCCCTAAGTTGTTTTTTTGGTTTTTTTTTTTGTTTTGTTTTGTTTTGTTTTTTCTTATAGATTTAAAGCAAGGAAACTGCACTTTGGCAGTGTTGTACTTATTTATTTAGTTGATTGGTTTGCATGCAGAATGTTTTCAATGGGCATGATGTTTAGATGATGTCTAAACAAAGGAGAAATTCTTTCTGTTGCTGAAGCCAGCCACTGAAACAGAGGATGAGACAGGGAGAGCGCCATCAGCAGAAGTACTAATGTAGAGATTAAGTAACTTTTATTGCTGTCTGGACATGAGGTGGAACTGTTTTGGGGAGTGAGAGACAGCTGGTGGAGAACAGGACCAAGTGTTTTCCTGTGCGTATGCCACTTAAATTTCATGTTAACACAGTAGGAACAGGAAAGGAGTTCACTGTAAGGGCTATGCCTTACACGTATTTAGAAGGTAAAATTTTAATAGCTGTTGTAGTTAACTTTCTGTGGTTTTAATGACAGCATGGCATAAAACAGGACCTTACAAATCATCGGGGCGGG